AAAAAAAGGAAATGGAAATGAAAAATAAAGAAGAAATCTCTTTCGAAGTTTGATAAATGCCACACAACCCCGCCACATACAAGAAAAATTATCAATGGTGGAAAAAAACCAACAGCACCGCCCCGATCCGATCCTCTTGCAGACGCAATTAGAGGAGGCAGGTGTTGTGCGGAACCCCGCAGCATTATTAGGGGTTTTTTTTTCTCTTTCCCCTCTTGTTTCTTACACGAATGATGAGTTAATACTCCTTTTTTTTTTTCTTCGCCAGCTTGTCGAATTATTTGTGGGACTCCTCCATGTGGTGGCTGAACCGAATCGTGCGAATGTCAGCCAAGGGCACAGTCTCTATCGTCAGTGTGCCGGCCAGCTTCACAATCACCCGATCGTTGCACCCTATGCGCCGAATGTTCCGCCGCGCGATGGGAAACGCAATTTCGCTGCGCCGCATCGCCACCCGCTGGGCAGCGGCGAGTCGCACGCGCACGAGTCCTCCGCCACCCTCCCACAAGCTCCGCACAAATCCCAGAATACCGTCAAACCACCTGATCTCCACATCTAGCAGGTGCTTGCGCTCGAAGCGGCATTGCATCGAGGGGAGATCAAGCTCCCTCACATCTCCGTGGAGCAGGCGGCCGTTGTGAAGATAAATCATATCCCACGTCCGAATCTTCTCAATTTCAGAAGCCACACGCTCCTCCTCTTCGGGTGAAAGAGCAGACGAGGTAGTTGTCATGGATCTAAAAAACACACGTTTCAGAAATCGCACGAAACTTCCCCAAGGCGACCTAAAAGTTGATGGACTGCGCATGTCACGCATAAGTTTACGGGCATACGCCTCGAAAGCTGGAAGATCAAACACGCATTTCTTCAATTTGACAGTGCTGGGGTCCAGCTTCACCGCAGGGTTTGTGAAAACAACTACTGGTACAACGAGCTCACCACATTGTTTGTGTACACGGCGGTCAGTGTACCACGTGCCATACCCCTGCGCCGCACTCACCTTGTCGCCCTTGGCGCTCCGCAGACTGTCCGCGACCGTGTGGTAGTCCGACAAGGGGATGCGCCTGTCGTTCTCGATGAAGCGGCGGAGTGCGGCAGCCTTCACCAAGTTGTCCTCCTGAATATCTTCAAACTCCAATGCTCGCCTAGAATCGCTGGCGCGCTGAAACCACCGTGGTCCATTGCTCCACACAGAGCCACGCCAGTGTTTCACCTCCACCACAAGCACAACCGGGCCCACTGCAACGACGTCAATTTCGCGGTTGTGCCCGAGGCGCTGCACAGGCACGCGGCGGCGAAGAAACACATGCTTCCAACCAGCCGAGCGCAGCGCCGCCTCCACCAACTCCTCCGCCTGCATGGAGGCCAGCAGCTGCTTTTCGCGAAATGACATACGAGTGAGGGAAAAAATGTGGCGCCACGACCACGAGGACAAACTCTGCCGGAAGAATCCATAGCTCAACCCCACCGCTATAAAAATCAACAACAAAGTTGGAATCGCCAGCAACGCTGACGGCAGCCAGTAGAGCACATCTGATACATAACCCCACATCTGCCTTTAGTGTGTGGCATCTCCAAAGCCAAGAGGAAAAGACGAGTGGAGAGAAGACATACGCACAATTAGATATTAGCATCCCTGTCGATGCACGGGTGTACACAAGCACTATATCCCTGCGCATATGCATATACCATGCATGCATGCATGCACGCCACACAGCAACCGGCTCGGTCATTCCTGAATGGAGCGCAAAAAGGGGCAACAGAAATAATAATAAGAAATTGTACGCCCCTTTTAGCACGACTTCAAGAACCGGCGTTAAACAATCATATTTTCACCTATTATCTTTTTCATTCTTGTTTCCCGTCGGTATATTTTTTTTTGCTTTAGACTTTTTGTTGTTTTTGTGCTTCCCTCCTTTTTTTTTTCTTTTTCGCGATGTTTTTTTTTGCCTTTTTTTGTTTTTTCAGGGGGCTCTTCCTGATACGTATACAACAATCCCCCACCGACCGCAGTGGCTTGTATGATGCTGGTGGGCATCGCGCCTAGCGGAACGTTTCATGCGGAAGCTTAAAGGGTCTCAAACATCAAACCCATAATTTTGAAGACTTGCCCAACAGTCTTCCTCTTTTTTTTTTTCAGGCATTCAACTCCTTAACTCCTGTCTTTTTGTTTCTTGCTTCTCACTGATGTCGCCCTTCTAACTTGTGCAGCGCTCTCAAGACATGGCCGAAATTAACCCAGACAAGTGGCGTAAGATCCATTCGTTTTTAAATACTGAAGGACGAATGGCATCTCACGGAATTAGGCTTATATAGTAAAAAACAAAACAACCAAAAAAAAACTGTGCGTGTATGTGTGTGTTTTTTTGTCGAGGGGTGCCTTATGTTGCACACCTCGTTTCTTTCACCATTGTCGAATATATGCTCGCACTCACCTCAGTTCTCCGGGCGGCAGTGGCATATGCGCGGCATAAACCAAACATCCGCCTCGGTTTTTTGTGTGTTTTTTTTTTCCTTCTTGCACTGATCTATCAAGAGCATGGATGCGTGAAGACAATCCTAATGCCGACACCGGAGATGGAGTTGTCCTCCTCGGCAATCAACCTCGCACCCGCTGGAAGGTGCTCCATCGTCGCCCACTTGCCCTTCACCGTCTTGTCCACCTGCTCCGCGCAGCTTAGAATAGAGCTTGTCAGTTCCGCGTCTTCGGCTTCAAAATAGACGTCTATCATATCCGTCACAACGAGTTTGGCCTTCTTGCGCAGTTGCTGCACACGATTCACAAACTCACGTGCTCGCCACGAATCTCCAAGAGCCTTGTCCTCGCGCTTATCAACAAGCACCACCACGTCGTTATCGGTGTTGCTCTCGAAGTCTGTGATGCCCTCCTTGAATTTGCGCAGCACCTTCACGTCGTCGAGTGAGATGTCTTTCCCACACAGCTCAACCTGTCCATTCTTGAGGAACTGCGCCACCGACTCCGGTGTCATCGCCTGGATGGCCTTGCGAATCTGAGGAGCTTCCTTGCGGTAGCGCTTTCCCAGCGCCTCCATGTTGGCGTCCAGCTGGGTCGTGACGTACTCGTCACCGGAAGAAAGGGTTACTTCAAAGGTGTTTACCTCATCCTTGATGTACTCGGCCACCTTGCGCACATCATTCAGGTAAGACTCCTCAGGGTGGATAATGATGACCTGTCGGACTGGCCGCTTCATGGGGATCACCATGCGGTCCCGCAGCACACGCACAAGGTTCACAATGGTAATCATGCGCGTCATGGCACGCTCCAGGGCCTCGTCGTGTCGGCTCATGTCATCTTCGGGGAACATGAGATAGTGCACAGAATCCACCTGCTGTGCCGCTGGCAGGAGTGGCTTAATGCGCTGGTAAAGAACCTCCGCAACGAATGGGGCAATAGGCGATATGATGCGGGTAACAGAGGAAAGAACCGTCAGCATTGTGGAGAGGGCCTGTGCGCGGTCTTCCTGATCCACGGTGTTCTTCATACGACGCCGGTTCATGCGGACGTACCAGTTGGAGAGATCCACCACGAAGCGCAGAACACCAGGGATGACGTTGAACAAATTGTATTTCTCCATCTCCCGCCTCACGTACTGTTGCAGCGTCTGTGTGGAAGCAAGAATCCAACGGTCCATTTCATTGGAGCTGGTAATTTCAGTAGACACAGTTCCGCCGGCCTGTACGCAGTAATTGGCATTAGCAATGAAGAACTTGGCCGCGTTGAAGAGAGGTAACATGACATCCTTGACGATACCCTTGACGCCCAGCTCGCGGAAACGCAGTGGCTCTGCGCGCACCACAGGCGAGTTAATCATGTACATACGAAGCGCATCCGCACCATATGTATTAATCACAATCGACGGCTCCGGGTAATTTTTTAGTCGCTTGCTCATTTTTTTTCCATCCTCTGCAAGGATCAGGCCATTGACGACAACATTCTTGAATGGCGAGACGTCAAAAAGGGCAACACCAAGAACGAGCAGTGTATAGAACCAACCACGCGTTTGATCCAATCCCTCCGCCACGAAATCTGCTGGGAAACGGTTCTTCAGGAAGTCCTCCTTCTTCTCAAATGGGTAGTGGAATTGCGCATACGGCATTGAGCCAGACTCAAACCAGCAGTCAAACACCACCTCGACGCGTCGCAGTGGCGGCATTCCGGGTCGCTTGCTCGGGATGGTGATATTATCTACAAACTGTCGGTGAATATTGGTGATACCCTTCACACCTGAAAGTTCTTCAAGCTCTGCAATACTTCCAATACACACAACCTCTTCCCAGTCTTCGCTGTGCCAGACGGGAAGCGGCGTGCCCCAATAGCGATTGCGGGACACATTCCAGTCCTTGGCATCTTCCAGCCAGTTGGAGAATCGTCGTGTCTTGACAAAGTCTGGCACCCACTCCGTCTTGGCATTAGCTGCCAAGAGACGATCGCGAATCGACTCCACGTTAACAAACCAGGAATCAACAGCCTTGTAGAGGAGCGGTGTCTCACTGCGCCAGCAGAAAGGGTAGCTATGCACAACAGATCCTTTACTATGCACCAGACCATGTGCCTCCAGGTATTTGAGGATGTCCGAATCAGCTTCCTTCACATAGCGGCCACTGAAGTCTTTCACTTCGGAAGTGAATTCACCATTCTCATCAACAGTGCAGAGCACTTCCTCTTTGGTCAGGATACCGTTGGCGATACAGATGCGGTAGTCATCCTCACCAAATCCAGGTGCTTGGTGCACAACACATGTACCACTGTCTGTTGTCACATACGTGTCACTGACCACGCGGAACGCCTTTGCCTCATATGCCTCTTTGAAATACGGAAACAATGGTTCGTATCTGGTCCCCACAAGATCCTTACCCTTCATGCGACTGACGATTGTGTACTGTGGTTCCTCTGCACCTTTATTATCACCCTTCCTTTTTGGATACACTTCACCAAGACGCAACTCACCAACGATGTAGTGCCGCTTTGTGCGGGCATCGAGTACCTTCACATAATCCACGTCGGGGTGCACACAAAGGGCCAAGTTGTTCGGCAGCGTCCACGGCGTTGTTGTCCACGCAATTAAGTAGGTGTTCGGGTCATCCTTCGTCCGGAATGTCACCATCAGAGAAGGATCACTCACATCTTTATAGTTCAAGTTAGCCTCAAAGTTGCTAATTGGAGTGGTGCAACCGGTAGAGTAGGGCATCACCTTGAAGCCGCGGTACACGAGCTTTTTTTCCCATAGCTCCCTGAAGACCCACCAAATACTCTCCATGTACGAGAGATACATGGTCTTGTAGTCGTTGTCAAAGTCGATCCAGCGTCCCATGCGACTCACCGTCTTGCGCCACTCCGAGGAGTAACGCATCACAATCTTCTCACATGCCTCGTTGTACTTGTCGATGCCCAATTTCTTCACATCGTGTGAAGTCTTAATGCCGAGCTCCTTGTCGATCTCAAACTCTATGGGGAGTCCGTGGCAATCCCACCCGAAACGGCGCTCCACGTGGTGCCCCGTCTGGTGGGCATAACGGCAAACGATATCCTTGATCGTCCCAGCCAGCAGATGACCGTAATGTGGCAAGCCCGTCGCGAACGGCGGCCCGTCGTAGAAGGTGTACGCCTTCTTTCCCTCGGATTGCTTGAGAGACTCGCGGAATGCATCCACCTTTTCCCAGAGCGCCATCACCTCCTCCTCCATCTTAGGGAAGTTTAGCTCATCGTCAAAGTTTTTCATTGGGCCCTCACTCGTGCCCCCTCTGCCTTTCAGTGGTGTCATATCCCCTTCGATTTTTACTGCTTGTGTAGAAAAAGACTTGCCGCGCTCGACGTGATCAGCCGCGCCGCCAGGCGAAGAAAAGGGATCGGTGGGAGGAGTCACACGAGAGTAAATAACAGTGCGCCGCGCCGACGGAAATCGACAGTGGCTCCTCTCACCGCCGTTCGAAGCACAGCGCCGTATGGCTGTTAGGCAACGCAACATTTTTGATTCAACTGTGAGTTATTATTTTTTTGTTTTTTGAGGGGGTTGTGTATGTGATATGGGCGTGTTTCGTATGTGTGTATGCGTATCGAGTGGTGTGTGCGAGAGTGAGCCTCTATGCGTTTTTTTTTTT